TTACAAACCAGCTACTGTTCTGTAAATCAAACAAATTTAAAAAAAAACTTTAAATAATAACAGCACTATAACTTTTAAATGTCCCTCAAAATTTTATTAATTTATAAATTACCGAATTTTTTAGTTCTTGATATTTATATATATTTCAGAAGTATACACATGAACTGAATAAAGATTGCAATGTATATATTAATAGCCCATATTTGCATTATATACTTAATATGTATCGTATTTTGATGATCAATATCTAAATTATTGCATTCTATCATAAATAAATGAATATAAGTTTATATATATAAACATAAGGTAATATACGGGGGAAGATGCCAGTTTGTTAATAGTACTTTTATGCGTCGATAGATGGCAATTTTGATCCGCTTGTGTTAAGTGTCTGGTCCAAAATTGAGCGTGGCTTGTGAATTTATCTGATTTAATCGTCTTTAATCAGGCTTATTTTTCGACCTCTTAAACATTTAAAGTGGCGAGTACAACTTTTATAATATTCCGTTCCTCATATTTACAGTCCATAAACGTACTTGTTATTTTTAATAAGATATCAGCAATATAAGTGAGTTACTCATAATGTTACACATACGATGTATGTAGAAACGGCCATAACCCTGCAGCAATAAAGAAATAAGCGTGCGTGGCATCTGCCCCTTATACTTAAAGGAAGATGCCACATGGCTCAGAAATAAATTAAATTAACTTAATTTTTTTTCTTCATTTTATAACACTGTATATGATTGTATAAAATATAACTGCAATTAATAATTAGGCTGTGAGGATGACGCAGGGGATCTCCATAGAACGAAGATGTGCAGGGCTGAAGTCGACTGCTACTTCAGCCTGCTGTAGACCACTCTGCAGGAAAATTCGTTTTTAGCGAACTAATTATGAAAGAATTTAATTATTTTTGTTTTTCCACAGTTATTATTATTTAACATTTAATTTGGTAATACTTGTCTTATTTTTTTATTTACTGAGGTGTTGTTGCATCTTACTTCATGACTGCTGGCATCTTCTCCCATATATGAGGGAAGATGCCCCAATAAAACGAATTTCTTTGACATTAAATTTCTTATTTATTTTCATATTAAGAAGAGAATTAACTTGTATACATAACCAATTAAATATTGAAAAATACGGTGTATTTTTTTTTCATGGTCTTGTCATTTCAATTTTCAATGCACTAATCGAAAAATCCTTAGCCGTGGCGTCTTCCCCCGAATTACCTTATTTGTAATTGGTGGGATGAAAGTGTACTATTCATTTTTAATAAAACTGAGTTTAATGTAAGTTTGTTGGAAATGAAAATTGAAAGTTATTCAAGTATTAGATCAAATAAAATTATTCAACATTTCATCTTCAATTAACAGTTCTTAAATTCTTAAATTCACTCTTCTCTTTTGGTTGCTATATGTGGTGTGATTTTTATCCTGATCTTTCAATTTTAATTTTTATCTCGAACCTATATTCATTTCTCGGATGTTTTCTTTATCAAAATACTAAGTATAAAAGTGAATTACAAGCTTTAAAGTATAAAGCGTCGCCCTCATACGAGGAACTTATTCGGAAAAAGAGACTGGTGCTCTGAATGGCACTTCTTAGTATGAAAATATCGCCAAATATTATTAAAGCTGACTATTCAATCTATGGATCTAAAATAGTTTTCCAGCATTTTGAAATGATCACTCACAGATTGTTATATCATTCAAACTGAAAATGTATTAATTACTTTATTAAATCCTAGATACTGATTTGGTTTTAATTAATGTCACATTATGAAGCAACAAGAGGGTTATGGGCAACGGACTCCGTAATTCTGAACCTTGAGAACGGGAAGAGGATTACACTTGAGCTGAAACCCACTCTCCAAACCTCCACACAAACAAAATAGCTATGAGCGTCGACAGATTAGACGTGCATCTGCCCTTTACACGGCGGATCTTCTGTGGTATTAGGTTTTTAACCCGCGACTCGGCAACGCCCACCACGAGTTCACGACTATGCCCACTTGGCTACCGTGGCCACAAATCCTAGATATTATTACAGTATTTAGTCCCAAGTACGTCTTGAGTATTTGGTTTCATGCAAATTTTGAAATTTCTTAAGGCAGTTCTTCTCAAACTTTCTACTCTTGCGACCAATTTTCAACCAAAATTTTGATCACGCCCCCCCCCCTTCTCCATAGAATAACAATGTATTGAATTCAATAATATTACACTTTGACGTAAATCTCTATAATGCGACTTAATTATAAACCGTACAAATTATCCAGATAAGTATTATATTTTGTATATAATTTTATACATGCCCACACATAGGTTCGCTGGCAATTATTAGTTTTGTTCTTGACTTAGTACTTTTAAATTAATTATGAAATACATTGTGCAGTACTAATATATTTATCAGCGTATTATACCAGTGTAAATGTGTATTTTATTTTTTAATATGTCAAAATGTATTTTGTTTTGCTTTCTTTAAGTAAATTAATAATTTTTTTAAATAATCCTTTATTTTCAACTTTTCGATGTACTCGCGGCCCCCTTGTAGGGTTATCATGCCCTCCTAAGGGAGCACGCCCCAGCACCCTACAGTTTGAGAAACGCTGCCTTAAGGTACACAAAAATAAGACTGGAGCTCCTAGCATGTTTTGGGTTGTAAATATATATAAGAATTTATTTTATTGATAACATATGAAACGATTTAGATTTTAGTTAATTATGCTCATAATGCTTTTTCTCTCTCTTTCTCTAACATTAAATTGTTTTATTAGAGCATTTTTAATGAAAGTATATTTTTTGGACGTTGCTTTTATTTCTATTCTAGCCTCTAGTGCAATCAAAGCAATGCTTTGTCTTAAATATATACATTTACAATTTAAATTACATACACTTGATGAAATATTTTGTTGTTATTTTCATCTTACACACAGGCAACATGTTATTACCATTCACAAGCAATCTCTCTCTCTCTCTCTCAGTTCCATCTATAATAATTCATACCTATTTATAAATTTTCCTTATTCACAGCTTTGTGCCCGGCATTATTCGAACAAAACAAAACTCACTGATCCTTAATTGTTATGGCTTTAGCTTTGTTGTCAATCAAACAATCCTCGTTTATTCCAACTCCAATAATTATCATTCTCGTCTATTTTTAAACCCTTCATGTATAATAATGATCTCATATACACGGTGCGAATCAATAGCAGCCGAAGAAGAAGAAACAGACGAATCTCTTTTCCATTCACCACAAATGCTATTCGCAATCAATTTTTTGTTACTTCCAATTTGAGGGTAAAAAAAAAAAAGGGCCACAATTGTTTCACTTTATTCCCCTGGAAAAATCCTCTTCAATTGTACATCTTCTCATTGTGGTATCCATCTCAATATTGAGAAGTACAGTCTGTTATTATCGCACTCTTACATATACACCCATTTCTCTTTATTTCTTTTATCGTAATTCAACGATTCATGTCGGGCAAGTTGTAGAACATTGTTACCGGCACTGTTATTACACACTGTTCGCTGTCACGCCGCCTTAAGACCCAACAATGAGGGCTGTTATTAAGATATTCTGTGGTCGGCTGATCAGCTACTGTGTTTCGACAAATCGCAGCCTTGCTTCACGTGTTTCTGTGTTTGGACACAAAAGCATATGATGTAATAATGACGAGTGTGCATTGTTGCAAGGGGAAAAGGGGGTTTAGCAGGTCATGATTTCAATCAACGGCTCCCGTCAATGGGGTGGTGTATCGATGGCACTTGAATTAGAAGGTTCTCCTTTTTTCTTGTTCATGTTCCTTCCTGGAAATTCCGAAAAAGGTATCTGGCTGTTCACCTCGCGTCGACCCAAACCTTCTCTTCCAGCGCGATTTGAAATAAATATGTTAACACCAAACAAATTAGTCAAATGAAGATGGTATCAGTTAGTTGGATTGATTCTTTGAGTAGTTCTTCTAGGATATGTTTGGTATTTTAATCAGGTTATGAATTATTGAAAAATATACAATAGGTATAAAATTAAGTATGCGTTGGAAAACTCGGCTAAAGCGATATACCGGGTGCATGCCAAATTTGGCACTATATGCACTAAATATTGATAATTTAACGATTTTTTAAAGAGAAAAATAGACGCCAATAGCATCAATAATCGCACTCAATGAGGAATTTTTACAGAAAACGCTGTTCCTTTTGAAAATATGCATTTTAATTGGATTAGAAAAGAACATGCGTTAATCATGGTATCTGGTTATTACTTCTTTAGTCCATTTTTTTTTATAAAAGAATTTAATATTAGATCTTGTAAATTTCAAATTAAAATAATATTTTCATTCATTTTAATTAATTTTTTGATATTTATATTTCAAGCGAAGATAAATAAAAGAATTGGTGGCGTTAGAATTTGGTGTGTTAACAAACAAATAATATTGCCTCATTTAGTTTAAATTAGTTAAGTGAAAAATATTGAATAAGTGGATTCCACATGAACAGAATGATAAACAGAAGCTTTGGAAGCTTGCTTGATGTTGTTTTCTCGACACAGATCTAATTCATTTATCAGTTACTACTATTAGTCCACACTCTCCCTATATATATATATATATATATATA